TGGCACATTTGAACGACTCATGGACAACACACTGCGTGGACTGAAGTGGACTGTGTGTCTATGCTACCTTGACGACATCGTCGTTTTTTTCCCGATTTTCCTACACTTCTGCTTCGGCTCCAACTGGTTCTGGCGTGTTTAACCAACGCTGGGCTCCAACTGAACCTTAAAAAGTGCCGCTTCGCTGCGCAAGAGCTGTCCATCTTAGGGCACATCGTGTCCAAGCATGGTGTTTTACCCGACCCTGCAAAACTTCCTGCAGTCGCTGAGTTCAGTCGCCGAAATCTACTACACTGTAAGAATTACGCAATTTCGTGGGACTATGCTCGTACTTTCAACGCTTCGTTCGAAATTTCACGTCGATCATGTCACCACTGACCAACCTCCTACGTGGTGATGCAGACCTTTCATCCTGGTCTCCTGACTGCGATGTCACATTTCCACGCTCCGTAGTCTGCTAACCTCACCTCTCATTCTTCGGCATTACGACCCAACAGCTGCAGCGGAAGTTCACACAGACGCTAGCGGGGTCGGTCTTGGCGCTGTCCTCACCCAACGCCAACTGGGCTACTCCGAATACGTTGTCGCTTATGCAAGTCGCACGCTCACTAAAGCTGAGGCCAATTACAGCGTCACTGAAAAGGAGTGCTTAGCGCTAGTGTGGGCGCTTCGCAAGTTCCGCCCTTATATGCACGGTCGCCCATTCGACCTGGTAACGAACCACCATGCAGTTTGTTGGCTCGCCACATTGAAAGATTCTTCTGGCCGCCTAGCTCAGTGGGCACTGCAAATCCAGGAGTACGACATTCGCGTCATCTATCGCAGCGGACGCAAGCACTATGATAGCGACGCCCTTTCCCGTTTGCCTTTATCTCCCGACTCAGCCTGCGGTACCACTGGTACCAACTCCGTCGCGTCTCTCAACCTTGACTCCTTTGCCAGTAAACAACACAAGGACCCGTAGATCGCTTTCTTTTTGACTGTCTTTCTGGATCGTCGACCTCTGTGGTATCACGATCTATCCGACGTCAAGCTGCTCATTTCGCCATTGGTGATCTGCTGCTACACTGATGGTCGGAAGTGGCTCTTGGTTGTCCCCCACAGCTTGCCATCACAAATATGCGCCTCCTTTCATGACGGTCCCCAATGTGGCCTTGCCGGAGTTTTCAAAACTCACGAACGTATTCGCCATCACTTCTACTGGCGCAGAATGTATAACTTTGTTCAAAAATTTGTTATGGGCGGCCCTGACTGTCAGTGCCGCAAATCGCCGCCTTTCTATGCATCCTGTGCGCTTCAGCCGCTTCCGTGCCCTGCCTGTCACAAACGACTACAATTTTCGGATTGTTCGCGGGCCCCATTTTCCAAGGAAGGGCGCTTTTGTGTTGGGGGGACGATATCCGGCGACTAACGACCCAGCGTGGCGCCGGCTCGTCTTCCCTGCACCTGTACCGAAAGGGGCACGGGCGGTCTAATAAAAAGGAAATTACCTCCAGATGGGACAAGTGCACGCGTACGCCCCTGAAAAAGTTTGGACTGGATCGGAATAAGCAGTTGATGTACAGCCAGCAAGAGGTACGGTCGTCGGTGTCGCGAGTCTCGCGTAGGCGGCGAGCATGAAGTGACCCGCGCAACGTATTGAGACGGCTGCAATTCCGGGCACCCTCGTGGCCTACCAAGCCGGCGAGATCTTCAGCGGCACCCGTCAACTCCCCTACGTGTACCAAAAGCTGGCCTGGTCCGTATGGAACTTCTTATTGTGACTTTTTTTTTACTGTTAATTTATTATAACCAGCCTTTTTTTTTAAATATTTGTAGTTGTGTGCGCTGCGTCGCCCGTCGAAGCTCAGTAGCGTCCTTCGTCCTCCATCGCTTCATACTACGACATGGTGCACCTCAAGAACTACTAGGTCACCGAGGTCGAGCCTTCCTATCAGAAGTCGTCATGGCTCTGCTTTTTGAATGCCATGTTGCTCATCGCAAGACCACGGCATACCACCCATAGACTCGCGGAGAGATTTAACCGCACCCTCGGAGATATGTTCGCGATGTATGTGACATCTGATCATACTAACTGGGATCGCATTCTTCCGTTCATCACGTTCGCATACAACACCATGGCACAGTCTACGACTGGATTTTCACTTTTCTTTCTTCTTTATGGATGCGAATCTTCCCACATCGACACTCCTTCCATACCGTCCTGACGCATCTGAATGCCCATCTGTGTCTGAAGCTGCCCGAAAAGCAGAAGAGGGCCGTGTACTCGCATGCACCTTTACGTCACAAGAACAGCAGCGCCAGAAAGAAAACAGCGCCGATTCTTCACGAAGCCACAGCTATTCCCCAGGATCACTTGTATGGCTGGCTGTTTCTTACCAAACCCCCGCCCTTTCCTCAAAACTCGTGCCAAAGTACGAGGGCCCTTACCGCGTTTTGGAGCAAACCTCGCCGGTGAATTTTCGCATTGAGCCACTTCCATCTGACGACATTGCGCCGGTGTGGACGTGACATCATCCACGCCGCCCGCCTTTAAACCATACCATAGCCCTCTCTCTCCAGACCTTTAGGTCGCCAGGTTGGCTCTTTTTCGGCGGGGGCAAATTGTGAAGAAGAAAACGCATCGTTGGCAAGCAGCATCGCCACCGCTTGGATAGTGGGTTCTGGGCTTCGCTCGCCTCGTGCTGATCGTCCCCGGCATCTGCCTGAACGTTGCTCTGTCCCGATCGTGTTTTCAATGTAGAGACGCCGTTGCAACACACGCCAATAAACCTCTTTTCAGCAGTTATTTCAGCAATAATATCAGTGCTGAACAGTTGCTGCATTGGGCGTTGTCACAAACTGCATGCACGTAAGAAGTCAGAAATTTGAGTGAATAATTCAATTCACTTTTATGAAAACTAAATTACTTAAAGTGATACAAGTGGGCAAAGAGAGAAAATACATACTACATATTTGATGAAGATCAGATAACAAGAAAAACCACTGAAGGCTTGCTGTGAATGGTACAAAGTGCTAAGTTTCAGCCTCCTTATTTCAGATTGCCTATCGTTGTCCTTTCGTTACAGAACAGTTCTATAGCATTGCATATATTATAATAAAACCATTGTTTTAATGTCAATAATTTATACAGTAAAGTGGTGGCTTGTGTGTCTTACGAATGTAGTGCTTGATCCTAAATATGCAATATATGGACTGGCATGTGTGTGTCTACAAGGCAGGTAGTTAAGAGTATGTTTAAAAACCATTGTTTTAATGTCAATAATTTATACAGTAAAGTGGTGGCTCGTGTGTCTTATGAATGTAGTGCTTGATCCTAAATATGCAATATATGGACTGGCATGTGTGTGTCTACAAGGCAGGTAGTTAAGGGTATGTTTTTTTTTTTTCCCACTTTATAAAGCTTTTTACCAGTTAGCTGACTTCATGTTAATGTCACCTAATTGTAGCATGCAGTAATGTATTGATTGAAGCAATGGCTATAATCAAGCACATTATAAACACTAGCTATGACCTTGAAAATTTTTCTACCTTAATTGTCCTTTTTCGTTCATACCATATTGAATGCTTTACAGTAAGCCAGTGCCCATTTGCAGATCAACAGTAGACCTTTTTCTACGTTGTGAGAGCTTGCTTTGCACGTTTAGAAAGTAGTGCTGTAATAAAGCAAGCGGAAAGTGTTCTCTAGAACATTAGGCCCCTGGTTACATGCGATGTAGGGTTCAGTGCCTCACTGGTAAAGATAAATCATTCCTTTAGGTTATGGCATTTCAATTGCATTCTTTTCCTTTAAGCTGAAGTTATTTAATCATGTAGCTCTCCTTCATTGACTTGTAGCAATCCCTGTTCTGTGTGTTCATTCTATCGTGATTTTTTTCCTTTTCTTTTATTGCCCGAAAAGACCTCCTCACGAGATTTACGGATTGCCAAAAAACAAGCCTGGTGCGTAGATCGCACGATGACAATCGTGTCTGCAATATATTATGCTTATGTGTGTTGCAAAAGCGTTGAAAATAACACAAGTGTGCATGCCCATATTCTAAAAAAAAAGACAGTCTCCTGGATTGTGAAAGTATCGCACATTTTAACCTGTCACACATGTCAATGAGTAAAGGGCACAATGCAACACGCACCGAGAAGTGAGCATCAGTAAATGTTTATATGAAAATTCCCATTCACTATATCACCACTGCGTATTTAAATTGTCGGGTTTCAGTCATACTGAAAGTGATGAGGCACATCGTAGTGCATTATTAATGAACGTTCACCACCTGCTCTTCTTTAACATGTACCGGAAGTTCTCGGAAGTCAGGTGCCTCTCGTATTTTGCCTGAATCAGTGTGTGGCTGCCACAGCTAAGATTTGAACCTGCCACCTTATTTCAAATTGGAGAGGAACAATAGCCAGTACGATTTACCTCTATGTTAGCTATTCCGAAATTCCTTTAACGTTGGAGGCCGAATGCCAGAGGCCTGTGGGCTATGCGATGTCAGCGCATATTAAAAAACACCAGGTGGTCGAAATTTCCGGAGCTCTTCACTAAGGCATCTCTCATAATCATATTAAGGTATTGGGGCATACACACTCATTATTATTATCAATAATTATTGTGACAGAGTCTTGCATAACAGCTTCCCTGGATTGTGAATATACGATAACAGACTGGCCTTCTGTCTTCTTTGCATCTCTTTTCAGATATTAGTTGTTCCTTCTCATACTGTTGTGATGGGGGCCATTTAATGTTTTGAACACATAAACCACGTACTTCATCACGGTGCATCAACAGTAATAAGCACGAGGTTGCAGGTTTGGTTCTGTGCCACATTTGGGGCATGTTAATGAACTCCAGGTGGCCAAACGACTGGACTGGTGTCATCCATTATGTGTTGCCCTAGAATTTCGAACTGCATGAAATTCAGCTGTGGCATCTAGTCAAGTATAAGATGGCTGGGGGGAAGCATAAGTGACATTTGTTTGTGCTTTTCTGCGTTTTTTTAAAGCCCCACCTGGTGCAAGCAGTGTTTAAGGGTGATGTGGAAGAAGTGGAGGAGTTGCTGGCAGAAGGGGAAGAGGCCAACTACCAGGATGCAGAGCGCCGCAGCGTGCTGCACGCGGCTGCATTCTGTGGCCTTCACCAGGTCACCGCCCTGCTCCTGGCACATGGTGCTCGTGTCAATGCCAAAGACAACAAATGGGCCACTCCGCTGCATCGTGCCTGTGCCTCCGGATACGAGGCAAGTCATCATTCATACCTATGCCAAGCATTCACAGTGTCAGCATCGAGACACTGTGTCAGAATGAAGCCGGCATGGGCGTTCTTTTGATACGTAATTGAGATTTGGTTTGTCATTTGAAAGTCATGCATGGCAGATCAATTGAAGGTGCCGTGGTCTGTTGAATAGTCTGTTTTTGTTTATTAGTTCTTGTGTTGAGTTACATCAAGCTATAATAATAAATGTCATTTTAATCTGTTTTAACCCTGTGCAGACCTGCCCTGAACGCTTTACTGTTGCGAGAATATTTGCTTATTTATTCATCGCGACGTAAGATTTACTGATGCTATAAGCATGTGTAGCCGATACGGGATGTTTTAAAGGAAGAGTGGGTTAGCAGGCGAATCATTTCCACCTTCTTGTGGTTACTATTCCCGCTCGAGGAACATGCTCGCTTGTGTACTGGCCTGGGCTTGATAATTTTTCAGGGATTTTTTCATATGCACGTCACCTGTGGCTTTTGTCACTTATTGCATTGGTAACATGAGCTCTTCGTTATCCTTTCAGGACGATATCACCCACCAACTAAAGCCCGAACCTATAGATGTAAAGGTAAGCATAGTTATATATATTTTCATAGAGAATTCCGGCCCATCCTGGCTCGTTCTATGTTACATTATATTGGCTTTTGTTCACGGTACACTTTGTTGTGTCATGCTTGCATGCAGAAGAGTTTTCGCAAGAGATGCCTTTATAAATAGAAACTCTTCATTGAGTAATACAATTTATTCTTACTATAAAGTCCTAGTTAAGTAAACATAGGCAAATTAATTCCCATTTTCAATAGTTGCAAATTCTACTGAGAGTTCCAGCTGAAATCTCACAAGTTTCGCCTGGATTATGCTTCTGTTATTTAGATCCTGCGCTTTGCTTTCTTGAAACAATTTTTAATTGGCCAGTCACCATGCATGCCCCTGACTTCAACATTCAGTGCAGTAATGGTTGCACTAGTAGCAGCATTCAACTTCACAGCACTTTAGGAATAGGAAATGCATCAAACACACTCCCATCTTCCGTCAGAATGGCCTACTTACCGCTTGATCAAGAATACATCTAGATGAATATGGTAGACTGCAATGGATTATTAGAGCAATGGTTCAATTCGAGTACGTGCTTTTTATTTCCGGGAAAAAATTGTTCAGAAATGCATTGGTACATGGTAGTCGGAGCCAAGCCTCGTTAGCATTATTGCTATTATCATGACAATTGTAACTCGCACGCAGTCCAAACATTTTACACTGGACAAGAGAAGGGAAAAAGCCAAGCCTGCCCTGTGTCAAATTTTTGCACTCAAGATCAGTTATGCATCATCGGCATGCCCGATTTCATACTCTTGTCGTCCGTCACAAGATCATAGCCACTGTGGTAGGCTTGTGCGAATATTTGAATGCTTCGAATATTTGAATGAATAGGTGAGTATTCGAAGTATTCGCAATAAACAAATAAATGTACATTAGTTCGCTTGTAAAGGTGGTTTCACTGCAATGTATTAGTGCGAAGCCGTGAAAGCACTTACTCAGAAGAAATTTGCTTTGCCACGAAGCCCCCCTTCAGATTTAAAGGGGCCCTGCAACACTTACTGAGCATAATTAGAAAACGCTGCCAATAGGTAGTCGAGGCTACCGAGAACACGCGAGGCAATTATTATAGCGCAGCACGTGGCCTGAAATTCACAATAAATTTTCAAAGCTAAAAATTTCTCTCTTCCCTCAGCAAATGACACTACAAGCTCAAAAATCACTTGTCACAGTCATTGACCGATTTGAGCATAGTGCGCTCGTCGTTATTGGACCACCCCATGAGGCCGCCGCTTGTCCACAAGTACGTGCAGGATCGCACTAAAAGGCCTCGTATTCGAAGAAAAAATAGAGGGTAAAAATGCTCAAGGTCACTAGGCGCTCATGATTTTTTTTGTTTTTTTTTTTTTTTGCCCATGTTATCTTTCCCTACTTGGCTTCCAGCTCTTTTGACGGGTCGAGAATGGAGAATGCAATTGCAGCATGCGACAAAGTTTTGGAACCCCACTCGCACCAGACTGATTCTGAAAACTTTGCGGCGGTAAATTTGTTAGGCGACAAGCAGTGTTTACTGGCTCTATGGATACTTGAAAAAGTGTTGCAGGGCCCCCTTAAAGAAACATGTTACCCTCAAATCAATTTTTCATTTTATTAAGCTTGTTATGATGGTTTATATGATTTAAGCATAATAAATTTTAATACGTTATGTATCTTACAGGTTATCACTCGGATCCAACCGAATCTACTAATCAAGGTTGTTTCGACTTCCTTTCAACGAAAAAAAAAGGCATTTGCATGAATCCCCTATTTCATTTCAAAAGAACTATCGTGCAGGTTAGTTAGGTTATGATAAATATTCCCTTATTTTTATATGTCATACATACTATTCGAATTCGATTCGAAATTATTCGACCAAAATCCTTATTATTCGCTTCGAATTCGCTTCGACCCTGAAATTCACTATTCGCACAAGCCTACACTGTGGAGGGCAAGTTTACATAGCCTAACAACACTCTGCTTGCAATCTAATCTTAAGTGTACATTTAACAATTCGCATCACATATCCCCTCGTCATTCTGGAAATCTTGTTGCAGGACAGATTAGCGGAGTGGTTTGTCTGGTGAGAGCCAACATCCCGCTCACAATTTCGTAGGAGTAATTTGGCAATTGCAGGACATAATTTGGCCCACGAGATCTACTGCATGTTTCAAGCTCCCGTTCAAGTAAAGCATTTGGTATGAGAGTTCTGTGACAGTGTGTCAGAATCCGGAGTAGAGTTTCTCTAACTTTTTTGATCACTGGCTTTACTCAACAGAATACTTTTTTTTTTCTGTTGAGTAAAGCCAATGATGAAAAAAGTTGAAGATGAACTCTCCTGGCTTATGGAACATTTTGAATTAAAGTAGAGTTTTGCATTTGCCTAGGGCAATTTTTCGTGCGCATCTTGGTTGAGTTTTACGCAGCCTCTGTCAAAATTGGAATGAGTGATTTATGTTGTTTAATCAATCAATAGAACTTTATTTTTCTATGAAAAAAAAAATACAAAGAATATTTGCACCAATAGCCTTAAGTGGCTAGTGACCGGTAATGTGACTGGTAAATATAATATGTATAGACAATGTACAGGTCAGCAAAAAGAAAAACAAATGAATTATATGACTACAAGTAATACACGTATACATTTTCTCAAATCAAAACAGACTGACACACACAGGCTTACATATCTTGTCTCTATAAAAAAAGGACTTGCATGCTGGAACGAAGTTATGTGCAGTTTTAATCTAATTTTCTGGCGGTAGTTTGTTCCTACTAGGGTATATGAAGTCCAGGGCTGCAGTTGGGGAAAGCCCTGTATGTTCCTTTTAAAGGGCCACTCACCAGGTCCCATACCAAATTTTAGTTAGACCATGGAAGTTGTTTTGTGTCCGTTGAGGAACATTTTGCCATAAAAATTTTGTTAATCGGTTCATTACGAGCTGAGAAAACTTTTTTTTTTTTAGCGGCACGAAACGAGGATGAGAGGAGGCCAGCTCGAAACCCATGCCGCTCCTCCGCGTAGCCTTCGCAAGCCAAATCTCTTCCCTACCCTCTGGCATCGGATCAAAAGGTCTTGTGCGCATTACGTGCCCGAACAAGCTCAATCCCCGTGCACACGAGAGACTTTTTTTGTTTATCATCATCGTTTTGACGTCTACTGTTTGTATCTAGGACGGTTTGGAAACGCTGGCTTAGACGCGGTAGAATAGATGAGCAAAATGAATACGCAAACGTGTAGGAGCATTCCACGGCTGTAGTCTGCTCGATGTGCTGACCGCGGTGACACGAACGCATGCGAAACGCCTGCACATTAGCCCCGCATCTCGCTGCAGTTCACGGGAGAAAATGAAAAAAAAAAAATAAAGCTCACATTTCCTTATTGCGTCTCATTATTTATTTAGAGATATATGAATCTCTTCAAGCAAATACATAAACTACGTATGTCATGTTAAATAATTTTTGCCATTACACGTGCCACTGTTGGCAACGTCAGAGCTTAGTCGTCTACGTAGAGGACAAACGTCACTGCATTGCCATGTACATAGGACCATTCATACACGCATGTCATGTTCTCATTCTCTGGGTGCGTGCCCGCAAAAAGGAGGGGGAGCAGCATTCATCTTGAAATTTAACTCATTTTTGCGGCACGTCGCATTGTGAATTTCGGCAGACGTGATCGTGAACGCATCTACGCATTGCGCTTGTGAGCTCAAAATTGTCAAACCTGGTGAGTGGCCCTTTAAGAGGCCGAAAGTGTGCAGTCCTCGAGCGCCTTGCCGCTGATAATGCTCCGCCGCTCACCATTGTCGATTGCATGAGGCGAAGAGCCAAGTTTCACTCTTCAAATGATGACAGTTTCCTGCGCTGCTGCAGCGTAAGAAATAATCAAAAGAAACATGTTTTTGCCACTTTTAAATCACGTGGCAGGGCCATTGGCGGCCACACTCCTGTATATGTTGCAAAGCCTACTCACAGGGTTTGGTCTCGTCAAGCAGTGCAGCTGAACAACGCTTTTCTCGTGTGCTTATCTCCATTATGAATGAACAAAGCTGAAGCTCCCACGATAGCTACGCTGTGAATTTGAACGCTGTTGTGGCGGCATGCTCTGCAGGAATAGCTTATGAGCAGCTGGCCTGATTTGAGACAATTCTTGGCTTGCAAAAGCCAGTGAATCATAAGTCATTCACAGCCACCAGCCAGAAAGTCCGTGGCATCCATTGCCATGGATGCCATCTGCACCAATCTTGCGAGGCCAAAGGAGCTCACAGGGAGGGAAGTTAGCGGGGACGATATTGCCCTTACGTACGACAGTATGTGGCACAAACGCGACCTCAAAAGCCACGGTGGCATTGGCATTCTTGTGGCCCTCGACACTGGACATTGTTTAGATTTCGAAGTCCTTTCTAATTTCTGCCTAGCTTGCAGTCGCCACAAAGCTTTTCCAGATGGAGCGGAAGAAGTTCGGCAAGCTTTTCATGGCCCTGTCTGTGAGTGAAATTTCTGTGAGGAGTCAGCTCGAAAGAGCCGTGTGAGACAAACTTGTGGTGCTGGTGCATTTCAGTGAAAGTGACCACTACAAGAAGGATTGTCCTTATTTGTGTGCAAATTTCATTGCATTTAATGACATATTTTAAAAATAAACATTTAATTTTAACTTTAAACCTTGTTTTTCTCAAAACACAGATTGTGCCATATTTTTCAATGTGCCCCTCCTTTTTCGAATAGTTCTGGTGCGCGAAGAGATGTGGACTTTTTCACCTCTATTACATATCTTGCATGCACTTCTTAATTAATTTTCTGCATTCTACTCTTCATTTGAAACATTATAAACTATAAATAATAAAAAATTGTGGAAGTTTAGTGATTGAAAGAGAGGGGGGAGGAGGCAAAAAGTTCAGGAACTAAAAGTATGTAACACGCAAAAAAAACTAATTATATATAGTTGAAATCAGCATAAAAAGTTCTATGAAGAGCTCAAGTTTCATTGCTCTAGGTGAATATTAAAAAAATAGAGTGCCTTCAAGTAGCATCTCCCCTTAACAGGGGGTGATTACATGTTGCTTTTTTTGTAACGTTTTGCAGAAAACTGTGGACGTGCTACTGCGACACCAAGCAGACGTGAATGCACGGGACAAGTTTTGGCAGACTCCACTACATGTGGCAGCCGCAAATAATGCAGTGTCATGTGCTGAGCTTATCATTCCTCTGCTGAATAATGTCAACATCTCGGATCGTGCTGGCCGCACCAGCCTTCATCACGCTGCCTACAATGGGCACACAGCGGTATGTGCAATCTACATGTTAGGCTGCCTAGCGTCAAGACTTTAGTGCAGCTGCTCTCCAAACTATCAGATTTGACTGTGAATATGTGCCACCGAACAAATTTATTTGCATGAAATTTACATCTTTTTTGCGTGTGTGTGTGTGTGTGTGTGGCATGACCCTCAACTGCGTTTTTGTCTCCAAATTTATTGTGATTGATGTCATAACAACACTGTAGCCTTTGCAGTACTGCCAATAAGATGGCATATATAATTAAACTAGTAGTTTAGATGCGTCTTTGCTGGTTTTTCCAACAACATAAGTAAATTACTAGAGCTGCGCTAATAGCAAAATTTTGGGTGTGAATTGAATGCGAATATTGAAGTATGAGTCAGAATTAAATCATTCTCAAGTGTGTCCGGAATATTTTTCCAATACTTCGAAGTTAAATTGCAGAAAAAAAGTTGGAGATGATTCTTAAGGGGGAAGAGGCACTTAGCTATCAGGCATCTTATTATATAAGCTAGGGTGATGAAAACTCTTGAGATGGTATATTTACATGTGCAGATATCAAATATGAACACAGTTTTTATATGCCTCTTATTATTTCATTTTAATTAGTCATTAATTGAAAGTTTTTTATCACCTTTTCAGTAAATTGGCTGTACAGATCTTGCTGAATTTAATGCCATTGCATTCTACAATAAGCAAAGAGTGCAAAAAAATACTATGCAAGAAATGGCTAAAGCGCAACAGAAGGTGCAGCAGGGAAGACTAACGAGGACACGTGCGGGTAGGCTGAAACTCAGGGCAATCGGGTCAGTCCCCAATAGATCGAAGAACTCCAAGATGGTCGAGGTCTAACTGAACGCAAAGCTTAGAGACGTGATTAGTACCACTCCGCTGCCGAGAAACATGCATCCAGAACACAATGTCAGCAGGTGAAAAGCGAGAGCGAAAGCTTTATTGAAAGAAATCAAACAGGTAGGACAACAGGCGGCCGTCGTGGACGCAGCCTGGGGGAAAGACCAAGAGGCCTACACGGCTGTGGTGGTCTGTAACGTGTTCCATGTAACGAACCGAGGCGACACGTTGCTGAACAAGGAATGACCGACTGGTCGTTTATTCATGACGCTTATATAGCTGCGTGGGCAGCGAGGGGAAGGGAGAGACAAGGAAGGAAGTGGCAAGCGGTATCCACGAACATGTGCGATTGTTCGTTTTGATACTTCTTTTCTTCATCCAGTTTGGACTCATAATACCAAGCAAACAGCAAACAAAAGAAACAAATGAACTAGCACGTCTGACGAAAGTCTTCTTCGTAGCGCAGGCGCTGTGGCTCGGTTCGGGATCTCGTTGACCTGCGAAGTGTTGGCGATTCGGATGAGCCTCCCGTTGATTCTGTTTGCTCGGTTTCCCTGGTGCTTTGCGAGTTTGAACAGCGGTCAGCCACTGCTGCGTCACACGTGCCATGTGCCGGTTCCGAGCCTTCGGCCGGTGGTCCTACGCTATTGGGCGGCTCGAAGTCTTCCAGACCGCTCTCGTAGCCGTTCTCGTTTTCGCAGCGTTCGTGTGTTGGCAGTAGATGTTGTCGATTTCGCCTCAGCTGCCCTTGACTTTCCGTTTTGACCAGATATGAATGTGGCGCCACCTCCTTAAGTACCATTGCTTTGCGGGACCAGTTCCCATTCTTGATCCGAACAACGTTGCCTGCATGAAGTGGCGATAATGGCTTACCCTGTAGTGATTGCCGATGTTTCGATACAGGGCACTCTCCATCGGCGTTAAACTCGGGGGCCATTGACCGAAGACAGCGACCTTGCAGCAACTCTCCAGGCGACTGTCTGTCTTCTAAGGGGGAAGATCGATAAGCCAAAAGGCCCAGCCAGAAATCATCATGGCCCTCCGTAGTTTTCTTGAGAATTCGTTTCACAATTTGTTTGCCCTTTTCGGCTAAACCGTTTGAGCGGGGGAAATTCGGGCTAGATGTTATATGTTCGAAGTCGAACCGTTTTGCGAATGCAGCAAATTCACTCGAAGAAAATTGGGGCCCGTTGTCGGTGCAGACTTGCGCAGGAATGCCATAGCGAGAGAATATGGCGAATATCTTAGAAATAGTTTCCGCTGCTGTTGTGCTCACCAGTCTTTCAACGTCTGGGAAGTTCGACTGGTCGTCATACACCACGACGTAGGAGACCCCTGCAAACTGAAACAAGTCAATGCCGACCTGATACCACGGTCGTTTCGATGTAGGCCGTTGTAGAAGGGGCTCGCTCGGCTGGCTGTAGGCGTATTTTTGACACACCTGGCATGTTCGTACTAGGTTCTCAATGTCACTGCTTAGTCCTGGCCAAAAAACTAGCCTACGTGCCCTGGCCTTGCATTTGTTCTGTCCCATGTGGCCCTCGTGTATCCGCCCCAGAATTTCTGATCTCATACTTTTCGGCACGACGATCTTGCTCCCTTTTAGCAGTATGCCGTCCACTGCCAATAACTCCGATGTGAATGGCTTTAGTTCCCCTAGAATCATCGCGCCTGCTTTTAGTTGCTCTAACACCCTGCTTAAATACGGGTCGGCATAGGTCTCTTCTCGAAGTCGTTGCTTTGTTCGTCTGCTGACCAGGCTTGAAACCACCTGGATTGCGTGGACCTCCAAGTCTTCCGCTTCATCAGCGGCCCCAGGCACCGTGGCAGTACGGGACAGCATGTCTGCGAGCACCAGGTCTTTCCCAGGGATGAACTGCAAGACATAGTCGTATTTGAAAAAACTGATGAAAAATCGTTGCAGTCTTGGTGGCATGTCACCAACACTTTTTTGGGCGATGGCAATCAGAGGCCTGTGATCAGTTTCGACAAGAATCCTGCGGCCATAGACAAACGGGTGAAACTTTTCGCACGCAAATACTATATCCAGGGCTTCCTTTTCAATTTGAGCATAGCGTGTTTCACTCTCGCGCAGAACCCACGATGCGTACATGACTGGGCGCCAGTCGTTTCCGTGTTTTTGCAGCAAGGCGGCACCAATCCCGCTTTTAGAGGCGTCTGCAGTTACCTTCACTTCTTTTTTTTAATCAAAGAGCGCTAGTATCGGTGGGTTCATCAATGCGTTGCAGATCTGAGCCCACTCGTGCGCGTGTGCTGACGTCCATTCGAACACCACGCTTTCCTTCAAAAGGCCCCGAAGTAGTGACGTCCTGTCACTGAGCGAGGGTGCATACTTGTGGAAATAATTCACAATGCCCAACATTCTGCTAACTGCCTGTTTATCTTTCGGTTGCGGTATAGCCTGTATGCTCTCGATTAAGTCTGGACTGGGACGGACACCGCTCTCGCTGATCACCTCACCAAGAAATGCTATCTGTGTCACAGAAAACATACATTTTTGGGCGTTAAACGTCATCCCAGCTTGCTCCGCTCGCTTTAGTACGGCTTTCAGCCGTTCATTATGCTGCTCTGTCGAGTCCCCCCAGATTAGTATATCATCAATGTATACACGCACGCCTGTCAGGCCTTCAAAAATTTCTGTTAAACTCTTCTGGAAGACCTCACTTGCTGAAGAAATTCCAAGTGGCATCCGCAAGAACCTGTAGCAACCAAAGGGCGTTGCGAAGGTGCACACGCGTGACGTAGCCTCGTCCAACGGTATCTGATTGAAGCCTGTGTTTTCGTCTAGCCGGGAAAAGAACCTTGCACCCGAGATTTCACTTTCAATGTCCTCCCGAGATGGTATAGGATAATAATCGCGCATTATGCTTTTGTTTATGACCCTTGGGTCTATACATAAGCGAAGACGGCCATCCCTTTTCCTAACTACAACTAAAGGGCTTACCCAATCGGTAGGCTCGTCCACTTTCACGATGATAGAGGCTCTTTCCATGTGGTTCAGCTCCTCACGAAGCTGCTCCTTGATCTCCAACGGTACCCTCCGGGCAGGCTGCACTACCGGAATGGCATCCGGTCGCAGTACCATCTTGTACTGTCACTTTACACAGCCAGTTCCGCGAAATAGGTGTGGAAAAGCCAGCTGGGGAGCATCTTCTCTTGAGTCTACCGCATTCACTGTTGGGATCGGTCCGAATTCCTGACATGCCTTAAGGCCAATGATGGTATTGCGACTTTCACAATAAAAAATTCAACGCGACGTTCTTGGCCGTTTAAATTCAGGACTTCTGTTGATACCCCCACGTGCTTGATAATGCTTCCGTTATATGCAGTAAGAACTGCCGTGCTTTTTCTCGGCTCCATTGCTCGGTTGACACGACGGAACAAAGACAGAGGTAGTAGGTTGGCTTGTGAGCCAGTATCTACTTTAAATTTCAGTTCTTGGCCGTCTATCTTGCCGCGCACTGTCCAATCTGCTCCCACACCATCCGCCACGCCGCGCACGCTGATGTTCAAGATATCGAAATTATCATCCGCCTCTTGTGCATCATCCACTTGGTCAACCTGACGCTTTCTGCAACACGCCGCAAAATGGTTCTTTCTCTTGCACACGTAGCGAAACTTTCCCCGAGCTGGACATTCTTTTGGAGCATGGAATCTTCCGCACTGACGACATCAAGACTGGTTTTTGCTGGCTTGTTGTGTTCTTCTCGTGTACTCCACTTGCCGGATTTCCTTCGACCACTCTGCATTTTGCTGCGCAGATACTTCGGCTGCTTTGCACATTTGATCAGCTTTCTGCAAAGTAAGGTCCTTCTCGCTTAGCATTCTCTGAGTTTTTTATCGCTGATCCCAAATACCACTTGGTCCCTTATTATGGATTGTTCAAGCTCCCCAAAGTTGCAGAGTTTCGCTTGCTTCTTGACGTCTCTCAAAAATCTTTCAAACGGTTCTGCCTCCTCTTGTACTCGAAGGCGGAACACATACCGTTCATAAACTTCATTGCCTTGGTGGACGCAGTACTCTTCAAACTTTTTGACGAAAGTTTGATAATCTTCTTTGTTCTCACCTTCGGAAAACGTGAAGTTGTACATGTCCAGGGCATCGTCACCTGGGGCGCTGAGGAGTATGGCTGCTTTCACAGCTTCTGTCCTTGGCTTTTCTGACGATGTGGCTGTGAGGAAGAGCTCCAACTTTTGTTTAAACTGCAGCCAGTTTTTTCTCAGGTTTCCGTAAAGCTGCAGCGGTGGTGGGGGCTTGACGACATTCGTTCTGCCGCCGAGACAAACCCTTCTGACACCATGTAACGTGTTCGATGTAATGAACCGAGGCGACACGTTGCTGAACAAGGAATGACCGACTGGTCGTTTATTCATGACGCTTATATAGCTGCGTGGACAGCGAGGGGAAGGGAGAGACAAGGAAGGAAGTGGCAAGCGGTAGCCCGTTCTGATACATTCGACAGCCAGGGAGTGGTACGGGATGCCCTGACTGTACTCACTAAGGATTCCACGGTTGCGGAACAAGCCGCGATTGCTTTAGCTATCAGGAACAGAAAAAGGTCATACATCTATACCGACTCCAAAGCAGCAATTACGAGCTTCGACAAGGGCTATGTCGCTGGGACTGTGGTTAAACTTATGAACAAAGTTAATCCTATCAATACTGAAATTCAATGGTTTTCCTGCGCATATGGGACAAGTGGACGAAACTCGGGCCAACCTCAATGAGGTGACGAATGATCTGGCACAAGGAGTCGCTTGCTGTGCCGGGCAGACCCGATCCAACGCCCACTACCATTCCCGGGGCTATAAAGATAATTCAATCACTTACAACGACATCACAAAATATTATTACTTGGCGCGTAGGCGATTCCCACTGCCACACGCCAAATTAAACAGGGCTTAGGAAGTCACCCTACGTTTACTCCAAACCGGTACTTAGACTACTCTGTATTTTCTACATAAAATTCTCCCTGACAGTGAAATTCAAGACAAGTGTGACGCATGCGATGGCATCATTGGGATCAGACACATGCTGGCAGGCTGTCCCGCGACTCTCGCCGACCCCGAAGAACAATGGCTTTACTGGCAGACAATGGTGCGAAGCGCGTTTTATCAAGACCAAATACGGGCAGTCCAGAAGGTCCACGATGAGGCCATAAGGCTCAACCTGACGGTAAACGCGGCCCGTCACGGTCTGAACCGGGCTTCAGAACACAAAGTTTTATGAATGAATGAAAAAGCAAGTTTCATGTCTCTAGCTTTCCTACAACAAAAGTTAGAAAGTTTAGAAGTTCATCCTTCCATTATCAAGGAACAATAATTTTTGTAATTTTTTTTTTATTTTATGGCGTCCTTAGAGCACCTTAGTAACCTAAGCTTCACCGATGACATTGCATTGCTGAGTAACTCAGAGGATGAATTGCAAGTCATGATTACGGAGTTATACAAGGAGAGCAGGAAGGTGGATTTTACAATTAATCTGCAGGAAACGAAAGTAATCTACAACAACCTCGGAAGAGAGCAGCGCTTCGAGATAGGTAATAGTGCACTTCAAGTTGTAAAGGACTGTCTACTTAGGACAGGTAATAACCGCGGAGCCGAACCACGAGATTGAAGTAACTAGAAGAATAAGAATGGGGTCGAGCACATTTAGCAAGCACTCTCACATTATGACAGGTAGGTTGCCACTATTCCTCATGAGGAAGGTATATAACAGCTGTATCTTGCCGGTACTTAGCTGCGGTGCAGAAACCTGGAGACACACAAAGAGGGTTCAGCTTAAATTGAGGACGACGCAGCGAGCAATGGAAAGAAAAATGATAGGTGTAACCTTAAGAGACAAGAAGAGAGCAGAGTGATTAGGGAACAAACGGGGGTTAAAGAGATCATAGTTGAAATCAAGAAGAGCAAATGGACATGGGCCGGGCATCTAGCGCGTAGACAGGATAACCGCTGGTCATTAAGGGTAACTAACTGGATTCCCAGAGAAGGCAAGCGAGTTAGGGGAAGACAGAAGGTTAGGTGGGCAGATGAGATTAAGAAGTTTGCGGGTATAAATTGGCAGCAGCAAGCACAGGACCCGGTTAACTGGCGAAACATGGGAGAGGCCTTTGTCTTGCAGTGGACGTAGTCAGGCTGATGATGATGATGATGAAGAACCCTAGGTGATCGAAATTTCCGGAGCTCTCCACTATGGCGTCTCTCATAATCATATGGTGGTTTTGGGACGTTAAACCCCAGACATCAATCAATCGACTTCAAATGCAGCGCATCTAGCCTGACTGGGTACCCTCCCAGAGCTCCACTCACTGTCAACAACTCCACAGTTGCGGCACTCTGAAATCGGCTTCATTGCAAGTCCATATTCACGCTCACCTTTTTCAATAGAAATGGTCCCACTGCATGTCCGGCATTTAGCCGTTCTTTCAAGAAGCTTGTTTATCGCGGATAAGTAGACGATCCGGTAAGTAGCCGCCGACGGGTCCGAGTCCTCGTGCGCTGTTGCGAGTGTTCGCAGCTTGCGCTTGCTCACCGAAGTTGCCGATAAGCTGCTGATCTTATCAGCACTCACTTTCTGCTGTTGGGCACGATCGGCGCTCGTCAAAAAGGTTGTGTCTTTCCTTATGCACTGCCTATCGCCGACGCCGTCCGAGGCGGCCGGAAAAACAGGCGGAGATGTCGGCATTTCATCCGACGGATCGTATTCCGTCGCCACGCCGTCTTGTACTAGGTGCGCGTCGGATATACCCGCGCCATTATATCTTTTTGCCGTAGATTTCTCGCGCTTTTTTCCAAACTTGTGAGCAGTGCAAAACTTGCGATACGGCTTCGGCATGATGAAAGGTTCAAGCCAGATTCACAACGTGGCCGAGAGCGTAGGCCTAACGCACTGGCCCGGTAGCTGCCGGTGGCGTGCCTGAATGTGCAGACTTGAGAGATGCTTGCTCCAATTTCTCGCCAGCTCGCGCGGGTTCAGGAAGCCGACGAGAACAATGACATGTGAGCGCGAGATACGCTCACCGTTTCACGTGCGCTCTACTGCCGCACGCAGCAGACAGCTCGGGAGGCCTGGCGAATCGGAAGGCGCGATTTAGTCGTCGCGTGTGTTGACCCCACCAATAGGCTCACACAATGGTGCTTTTTTTTTTTTTACGCGGATTCACGCTGTGCATACTGAGTGGACGAAAACAAGCGCAGCGGGATATGAAAGGAAAAGGGCGGCTCTTTCGAAAGCGACCAAAACTGCTGCTGTAGCAAGCGTAGAACGACAACACCGTGGCGCTGAAAAAGCCCGTTTTTCACACGTTCGTCAAAAATTCAGCTCTATGATGTTGCACAAACTACTCTCATGGCTAAATTACCAATATAGGACGCGTGAAAATCGGCGGGATTATGCAGCGATAGTGGGAGAATCCAAATAAAGCATTTGCAAAAAATTTTATTTTTTAGCGATTTTCAGTTTCAAAGACCCACTTCTCCCCTTAAGCATATTGTTATGAGATAGCAACATGAAAGTGTTTGTGGCTAAGTTGTTGAAGTGCTGAAGGGATCCTTTACGGTGTTGTTATCAAGAATGAGGCAGTGCAGATGTCAAATTGTATTCATGACTTGATTTGGTGCAACCCAAGTGTTGTGGACAACACTTTGCTCGTGGAAGGGAACAATTTTTATGTCCTCAGCCTCTTCTCTTTCAACCTTCTGTGCAAGGCCAACTGACGTGATGGATAAGGGCATGCTCCCTCTGAATCTGGAGTTCCAAATCTGCCCCGTAGACATTAATGTACACTAAAACCTCATTATAATAACGTTGCATCTTTCACAAAAATAAGTTTGTTATAAAGTATATTCCTAACACTATATCTATTGCAAGAGTATTTTCGTTATATCCAGGTTCATTTATCGAGGTTTGAGTGTATAAAAACATCCGAAATTTTGGATGCTGAAAATCTTCGATGTCTGATTGTTCGAACCTTCTGCCCGAATTTCAGGTCCAAAACTGCGTTAATAGAGCCTCCACCTTTACCTTATCGTCTCCATGTTGGAACCAGAATTTTCTCAATACATTTGCATTCATAGTAGGAGAGCCTGAGAGGCGGCTTTACCGCAATACAAGTGTGATGAGGTGAAGCATATTGAAAAATCTGAAGAAGCCATTGTCAGTTGGATAAGACGGTATTTGTATTCGGAAAGTTCGAATACTTCTAATCGTAAAATTGTAGTGCAAATCGAATTGAATAGCAAACACGATTAGAAAGATATTCAAAAATTGGATTTTTTACACACCCTTATTCGTTCATAGGATAATAATGGTATCTCTCATTGGTAAGTGGGCATCTCATAGCAAACTCTTATGCAGGTACTATAAAGGTTGCACTGTGGCATTTATGGAAAAGTTTCACATTTTCTTTGTCTTACGTTGGCACCTTATGTGCTTATTGCAGATGGTGGAGCTTCTGCTGCAGAACAATGCGACCTGCAACTTCTTCGACAAGCGTGATCGTCGGGCCATCCACTGGGCTGCCTACATGGGTCATACAGAGGTTATTTCTCTACTGGTCAGCCACGGAGCTGATGTCAATGTGCGAGACAAAGACGTACGTTCCCCTACGCATCATTGTGTCCTGTTTCAAATTGATATGTTACGTTCGAAAGACTAATTTTGTTGCACATGCTTGACTGCCTGCTAATAGACCTAAGCCTTCGGATGCTTTGTTGCACTTCTAAAATGTGCGAAAGGTCAGTTCAACACATGGTTAATGCCTACTTCAGTAATACAGTAAAAGCTCGTTAATTGGGATTTCACGGGACTGGAAAACTGTCCGAATTAACGGAATTAACGAATGAACAGGGAAAACAACATTTAAAATCAAGCTGCAGAAGCATACCTTTATTTGTTGAAGTATTTTGTAATTGTCGTCTGCATTTTCACGCAGATTCCGGCTGACATCACAATTTTTCTTAACTGTTCCAAATGGCCAACAGCACGCAAGCTGTCGGGAGTGTTCAGGCAAGCGTCCTCTAATATTAACAGCGCCTCCGAGACTTCCCGTGAGGTGCGATGAGGTCGCGGCTGTATCTCCTCGCATGATTCTTCGTCGGAATCGTGGTCTTCATGGGCGCCCGTGACACCATTAATAATTGTACGTGGACTTGAGGCAGGTTTGGAGGGAGACGAGGAGGAAGAAGAGGTTAGAAATAAAGAAGATGGCTGACACCCCAGCCTAGTACTGTGTATTATTACAAATTGGCGCAGCCGCGTATACTTTCTGTGCGGACATTCAAGATGTGGTTGGACTTCAGCATTGAAGCAAATCAACGCGGTGGCATCCGGATCTTGACCGCAACGCCTCAAGATGAAGAGGAACTAGCTCTTCCGGAAGCAGTGAGCACTGACGCATTTGTTTCCTATATAAGCACTAAAATGAAGCTCACTCCAGACCATTTACCTGCTAAAAGAACGGTGAGGATCAACATGAAACTTCAGGATTATGAGAATTTCGTGCTGACTCCAGTAAGAAACAACACGAAGCCTGCTACCGCTGCTTCGCCTGACCGTTCCATCAAGCTGATCAACAAGTTTCTTGAACTGCACCAAAAACAGAATAGGCAGCAAAATGATTTATTGCGCTTCCTTGTAAACGCGACGGAAAGATTAAGCAGACCGAGTCACGAACAAGTGAAGCCAGACATGTTTAACGGAGAGTCTAGTAGTCCCGAGTCCTGGCTCACGTTTTACGAGTATGCATGCAATGAAAACTACTGGCACAGCGACGAAGATAAAGTGAAAAACATGCGACTATTCCTATCGGGCATAGCAAAGAGTTGGTACGAATGGCATCTCAACGCTCACAGCAACAAACCATGGACAGAGTGGAAAGCAAGCTTTCTGAGCTCCTTCAGCGAGAACAAGGTGTTGTTATGGGACAAAGCAATCTCGTTCAAATACAGGTCTGGATCTGCACTCAGCTATTTTTATGAGAAAAGGCGCTTGCTACAGCTGGCGGACTCATCTTTGCCTGAGACGTCTGTGGTTCCGCTTATCATTCATGGTTTAAGTCTGGACCTCCAGAAGCAAATACAAATGCGAGGACCCAAGACGGTCGAAGAACTTCTGCAGGGAATGCGAAACCTCTACCTCCAGGACCTAGGAACCCAGCTTCAACCCCAGACACCTGCTGCAAGCAATATCGGGGCCGCACCAGCTGAGGAACGACACCCGCTTGCAAGCTGGAGACCTACTGCAACACCCATATCCTTTGTCAATGCAACATTGTTGTGGGAGGGAACTGAAGAACTTAAGTTCCATAACGGAAAGTTCACAGTCCCAGAAACAATGGTGCCTCGAATTTTGGAGCTCTATCACGACTCCCCGCACTCAGGGGGACATGATGGCTTTTGGAGGACATATTACAAGATTCGTCAGCGTTTCCAGTGGAAACACATGAAAGAGGACGTTCAACGGTATGCTCAGTCTTGTCAACAATGTGAAGTTCACAAAGCCAAGTACCTTCAGAGAACAGACGAGATGGTTTTGCCTCAACATTCCGTCGTACCATTTGAAGTCATTCATCTGGATTTCGCAGAGCTCAAAAAGAAGGCTGCAGGAGTAAGAAGAACGCAGTCTTTCCTAGTGGCAGTAGACCAGTGCACAAGAATAGTGGCTGCATGGCCGGGAAGGGAAGACGCAAATAATGTGATCGCTCTTTTGAGTCGAGAGATGTTGAAGAATACAAAAATAGTAATATCAGACAATGGGCCAGCGTTTCTCAGTCAGCGTTTGCAAGATTGGGCGAAGGAACGAGGAGTTGTATTGCGACGCTGCACTCCGTACCATCCTGCGGGAAATGGCATGGCTGAAAGAATCATTCGGGATTTGAAGCAGTTCATTTCAATGTATCCAGGTTTTCAGGGTGGATGGAAGTGCTGCTTGGAGGCAGCTGTCGCTCATCACAATCGGTCGCACACTGCGAGCATCGGCTGTAGTCCATATTTTGCAGCGTTCGGAAAGGTACCAGTGCTTCCTGCTGATCAAGAACTTTGCATTGCAGACCGCCTGCAATTGTGCGAAAAACGAAAACCTTCGGAAGCCTACCAGCGATACTGGGAAAGTATGAAGAGGAAGTTTGACCGTCGCCACAACACGCCGATACCTCCGATACAACTGAACGATCTGGTGCTTGTCAGATAAGGCCTTCCCGGCACAAAGCAGGTGTACATGGGACCTTATCGCGTGGTGCAGATCGCAGTGCAACATGGCGTTCTCAAAAGGGTCGGCTACACCAACGATGATGGTGTGCTGGAGTTTGCGACCATTGGAAACGTTTTCAAGTATCACCCCAGGAGGGATGAGTCTTCAAATAGGGGGAGTGTACGTGGACTTGAGGCAGGGTTGGAGGGAGACGAGGAGGAAGAAGAGGTTAGAAATAAGGAAGATGGCTGACACCCCAGCCTAGTACTGTGTATTATTACAATAATCTCTTGATCGGTCAGGAGACCACTCGTGGCGACACCATGATCAATCGCGATGTAGTCCTGAAAGGTCACATCTGTGGGAAGGACAGCATCGAAAGTCGGGCAGTCATCATCGGTGGACTCGGCGGACACCTCCTCGATGCCATCGTCAGCTACTGCTGCATGCTCGGGCCTCACAAAACCGCTGTGCCGAACACAGTTGGCGATGACTTGCGGTGGAGTGTTTTTCCTTACGTGGGCGATGGTGTGCACTGCGCAGAGTAAGTCCACTTGATACAACTTTCCAGCTTCTGAGCATAGGATCATTCGCTCCAGCAGGCGCTTGCGGTACTTCGACTTCACATAGTGAATGATACCCTGGTCCATCGGCTGAAGAGCAGACGTAGTGTTGGGCGGCAAAAAAACTACTTTGATGCTCTTCAGTTCGACTGTACAGTTATGGGCACTGCAGTTGTCAACAACCATAATTATCTTGCGGTCCTTCGACGTGAAGTGCCAGTCCAACTGCTGCAGTCAGCCGCGAAAAATGTCCGATGTCATTCATGCCTTCCTGTTCGCTGTGTACTCGACAGGAAGGCTTCTGACGTTCTTAAAACAACGTGGCTTAAGCGCCTTCCCAACGACAAGTAGTGGCAAGCGCTCCGTGCCAGTCATATTGGCGGCAAGAAGCACAGTTATCCTTTGCTTGCACTTCTTGCCACCAATGCACGCGTCCCCTTTTAAAGTCACCGTCTTGTCGGGCAGAGCTCTGAAAGATAGAGCAGTTTCATCTGCATTGAACACGTCACGTGGTTCATATGTGGCGATGTGCTCCAGCAACTTCACATTTCTCCACTCGGTGGTCACGCTTTCGTCAACACTGGCCTTTTCGCCGCACACACTCCTGAAGACAAGTTCGTGTCTCTCTCGAAACCTCGCAAACCACCCTTCTGACGCTTTGAACGATTCAATGTTCATCTTTGCAGCGTACTTCTCACCCTGCGCCATGATGAGAGGTCCGCTCAAAGGCAGATGCGCATTGCAACAGTGAGTAATCCACCGGAGCAAAGCTTCTTCGAGCTGGGGATGAGCTGCGGTTCGCAACCGCTTTCTAGAGGCATGAAGCTTCTCGCTTTCGAAGGCTTGTCGAATCTGTTGTTCATTTTTCACGTACGTTCCCAACGTGCTCCGCTTCACGTTGTACTTGGTCATAGCCTGCTGTCGCGATTCGCCGTTCTTCAGTGCTTCCAAAATTTCCACTTTAGTCGCCAAGTTCTTCGCGTCGTAGTTCGGCCGCTTTTTCGGCGTTGCCATCACTGTAGCGCACGATGGTGGTGGCATGCAAATACGGTCACAATGGAAGAAAAAGCCAAAACACGTTGGTGGGCTAGTTGGTTTGAATCCATTAAGAGTGAGTAAGCGCAAAACAGACAAGGACGTAGAAGAGACAGACACATACAGAGCGCTACTTTCAACTGATCTTTTATTTTCGCACGAACCGATAAATATATACCGAGCGAGCGGAAATAACATAAACATAAAGAACATATCGCGGAATCACATCGTAGAACCAAGCACGTGTAAATTGCACTACATAGTAAAAGTACAAGTCACTGTGTCGAATCAAGGTAATGAAGTTCTTTTTGAGAAAGGCTGCGCGAACGCCGTCTCTTACGAAGTTAAAAGGCTTTTAACGAAGAGGTGTTACGGCACAGACACATGGCACGAACGATCTCCTTTTAGTGTTATCTTTAGCAGATGCTACCAAAAGCGTGGCGCTAGCAATAAAACGATGTTTGCCGATATAGAAATTGAAGAATTGTTGTGTTGCTCGGTTTTTCAAATAAATTTAAGGGGAGACACGGGTCTTTTAGAGCAAAAAATTGCCAAAAAATCAATTTTTCAAAATATTTTTTTTCGAAATCTCGACGTCCAAAAGAATCTATTGCTGGAATATTAATGCGTTCCGATTAGTATTTATTTTGTTATTGCGTTCTAAAGAGATCTTCATGATCACTCTCGCTCAAAAACGCGCCCCCAAAACGGGCAATTTCAATGCCGTCGTCTGCGGTAACCGTTAGCCGCAGCACGGCCATTTTGGAATCATTCGAAAGCTAAATTCTTCAGCAATCCGGTTTTAGTG